CAGACTTACTATATTCTCATGCGCTAAAATTGATAGGGTTTTCATGATTCCTTTTGGTTACTTTTATTTTGCATTTTGGCGATTGAAAATGTGTAAGGAGTTCCCAAAGGACAATAGTTATCAAAGCGGTTCACATTTCATGACTTTCCAGAGCTATCTATTTTAGAGCTGTGTAATAATTCTGAAATGACGTCTTTGTCCCATATGCCAAACGAATGGGAAAACACAAAACAGGCTTTGTTTTTGTTAATATTATTATTCAGTCAATTAATAAAACTGTAGATTTGTTTTTACTCCAAAACAGAATACAAAAGACTTACATTTGTGAAAATTAGTTCTGAAAGGTAACAATTGACGTATTCCCAGGAGAGCTATCTAAGCTTATTAGCAGTAATAATAATATCTGAAAAAAAATAAGAACGACATAATTTGCAGAGTATCTCACTTTCCTTTCTTCTTTTTTCTATTTTTCGTTGTTCTCTTCTTTCGTTTTGATGATTGTTTTAGGGAAATTTATCGTTGTAAATACTGAAAATATAAGTAAGACACTTATTAATAAATAGACTTTATGCACAAAGGACATTGGCGGAAATATGTAAATAGGAAACTAAATAAAGTTATTGGAGAATAAATTTCCTTTTGCCTCGTCAGCAATTGATTAATAATGAATAGCAATAGGGATAAAACTTCGGCGCATAGCACGGAAAGATCTTGACCGTGCGAGAGATAGGCAACTGATGGTTGACAAGACTCTGAAGATGAAGCGCCGTTGCTGCCCAGTGTTTTCTTTCCGATCTTTCCTATTTTTGTTCGGAGGCTGGTTCTACACCGTGACAGTTGCGAACCAAGGTGAGTGAACTTTAACATTGCTTTGTCAAGCTTTTGATTAAAATCTCCTCCTGAAGTCAGGGGAATCCGGAATTAACGGAAACTAAGTCGAATTGGCGAGCCAGGCCCAAAAGTAATGCATTTTGTGGATTTGGATGGCTTATTCCATCACATGGGGTGATAGGGCTCTGAATTAAAAACTAATGAGACCATTTCTAAGAAACTTGAGCACGACGAAATATGACATTTTGTTTGCAAGTATAACTTATTCTAGTTAATTAAGAAGAATTAACCACGATTTAAGCGGAAACTAAACAAGGTTAAGAGTTGCAACAAACTCAGTCGTGTCATGAATATAAACCGATATATTTTAATAAGAATTTTTGACAACGTTTTCCTGAATTCTAATTCTTGATGAGAACTCATTTAAATCAATTCCATCATCAAACAAGCAATAAATGCGTACTAAAAGCCACAATTCAATGAAAAAGGAAACGCTTTTTTTGCTGGTTGTTAGCAACGATCTAACTGATCGAGAGTTTGCGGAGAAACACTAATAAATGATTCATCAGAAGGAATAAGACACCCTCAGACCAGTGTAACGCGAGGAAAAATATCGACAAGTGGAATGTTATTAGAAATTAAAGGGTTTTTGTCTCTCAGAAATTTTCTTTCTTGTTTTTTGATGGTTCTGAAGGCATTTTATTTGAAAAAAATGAGTCGTGATGCTTGTGTACCCAATAGGTATTCAAACTCTGAGAAACACTGCATGTTGGCGAATATTTCAAATGCAGGTGTTTCACGAGTGTTCTTCTAATGAACAGACGAAGGTACCTGTAAAAAGAAATGCACCTTAGGTGTTTTTGGAATTCAGATAAATGCTGAGGCTAAAACACCTCAATTGTTTATGATCAATAAGCAAAACTGGTCAATGAGGTCTTTATCTTTTTCCACTCGACTCTTTAACTTCCATCGCTAACAGAGTATAACAACTCGTTTTTCCGCTCTCGTTTGGATAAAAAGGTAAATAAAATGAAAATGTCCAATTCCTAAGCAACAACCTTGCCTCTTTGGTGGCGAAAAATTAGACGCACCTAATAAAATCGTGGTTATTAATGATTTACCGTGAGTAAGGAGTTTGTAAGTCAATGGAGTTAAACATAAGAGTCTTCATAACGCGGCCAAAAAGAGAATAGTCGCCGAGAAATCGAAAAAACCGAGGTTTTATTTTTTCCCTAGCCTGCTTTGTCTTCTTTTCGTTCTGTTTCTCTTTGTAAATTTTTGAATTTCCCTTAAGACATTATAATTTCGTTTTCCCTGTCTCGCGAAATGATCTTTCTCGAGAATCTCAAAGGAGTTCTTTGTAACAAGATTTTCAAGGGGTTCCGATATTTCATTGGTGGTGGCATGACCGCATTGGCACGTGTCTAAATGAGATGCAAAAACTGTGAATAACTATGGAAGCCAAAAACTCGAGGTTTATTTTTCGTGCGTTATCTCTATGGAAACAAATTGATTTGATGTGTTTTTTTTTTGGATTTTCGTGAAATTGGCCAGAATGTTCGTTAGATATTAACGCATCAAAGTAAGTTAGGCGAATAGAATTCGAAATATCACTCTCGTGATGTCCCGGAGCGTGACAACAACCAAAATATTTTTCTACTGTCCAATTTCATGTTCCTGTTTCACCAATACACAACTTTTGGCTGTAAGTGCATGTTATTTCACAGATGAAATTGGCGGAGGTGTACGTGAACTGATCAGTAATCTTAAGGAATTGCTTGGGTTCCGATATAAATAACATGGCCTATAAGTAGTTTTCTAAGTCGGGCAAGGTTCTGTAACATTCTCTGAGTGCCAAAAATTGAAAAATATTATTCAATAGAACGGCGATATCCTAACCAACGACCAACGAAAGGCGATGCACACTCCAAACGTCTGGAAGATAGATTCTAGAATCCAAATCGACTGAATTCTCAGCCCATTCAGTTGATGTCCATAGAAATTCTCAAATCTCCAACATTGCTCTATTTTCTTTAAATCTCTTTAGGTTTTACTCAGTTATAGTCTACTCTATTGGCGTGTTTCAGAGAACCGTTTTGCACACCTATGATCCACTACTGTCTTATTTACAGATAGCTGTCGGCGAGTCAATTTCATGGAAAAAGAGGATGGATATGCATTGGTCAACCATATTTTGAAAAATATTTCATTACCTGTCGAAATTCATACGTATAGTAACTGCAATAATAGGTGTATGATGGAAGACAGATGTAAATCAATCAACATGGGACCAGAAGATAAAGATAAAGTTTTGTGTCAGATAAGTGACTCAGACCACGTTCAACACCCAAATGATCTGAAACCGACAGAAGGCTTTACGTATAGGGGCATGGAGGTAAGCAAAAAAAGTTCGGTTTTTGAGTTTGCAAATTTTAAATCCTCTTTTGTGAATCGTGCAAAAAAAGTCACAGAATCGCAATGTCTATTCTGAATGGAACTTGAGAATAAAAATCGTTCAAATGAAGTAATTTAAAGAGAGGAAAATAGCAAATGGTGCCCCGAATGAATCGACGACATAGATTGCTCGCGATTCCTATGCACCTGCAAAAAGCTCTTCGGGATCGTGCTATGAATGATCTGATCGATCTTAACAATTAGAACATTTTTTGAGGTAATCAAAGCGGAAAATTAAAAGAACCTAGTAATATTAAAGCATCAATTGATTAATGTTTCTGTTAGCTTCGCAGTGTAATAACGCACATGGGATAGGTTGTGTTATGCGGCACTCTGGGTTCTAACCAATCAGTTACCGTTATTTGGTACCACGTCACGCAAGTTTTTCAATCATATACCATAATTTTCAAATTACACACAATTTTTACATTTTAGCGGCCCTAGAACCACTGCCGATAAGGACTTCGCAAATTTTTAGCGGAAATGACGTCACTGGAAGTAAAGAAAACAATTTGATTTCATGATTTTCTCTGGGATTTCCTTACATCCTTATTCTGCACTCTTTTTATTGATTTTTCTATAACGCTTGGATGGCTTAAATGATTTTTTTGGTGACGCAGCCTCTTGGGCTTTTTTGACACTTTTTTATTATCCGGCGCCCGGCTGCTTTTTTGTTTTTTCCGCCGAATATGAGAGCTGGAATAAAAGCTGCTAAAAGGAATAGTACTTTTTCTGCGTTGATGGTTTGTTCTCTCCATGAATTTTCTTGATGTGCACAATGAAATAAAATGGTGTGGAATAAGGTTGGATAGGGGATCCTTGTTACAAGTGGGACGCCCACTCTTCCTGGTGAAAATCGCCCATGTTGTTGTTGTTTTACAATGGAGAAACTGAAGTTTCCTCTCGTGCAGAAATAAATCATCTACAAGTTCTTGATGAACAATCACAGAATACGATCTAAAAGCTCTGAACAAAACATTCCAATTTCTTCGAGTGTTATCCACAGGCATGAATTTTAGGTGTTTGGATAAGTAGGCGCCTTGAGTGGAAAAGACGTAGTTGAAATAGAAGAAGATGAAGAATTACAAGAAGAGGAAAAACTAGAAGAAGAAAAACAAGAACAGGAGGAAGAACTAGAAGAGGAGGAGGAGCTAGAAGTAGATGAAGAACTACAAGATGAAGAACTAGAAGAAGAGGTAGAACTAGAAGAGGAGGAAGAACTAGAAGAGGAGGAAGAACTAGAAGAAGAGAAAGAACTAGAAGAGGAGGAAGAACTAGAAGAAGATGAAGAACTAGAAGAGGAAGAACTAGAAGAAGAGGAAACATTAGAGGAACTAGAAGAAGAGGAAGAAGTAGAGGAAGATGAAGAATTAGAAGAAGAAGACGAAGAAGAAGACTAGACGAATATGAAAAACTAGAGGAAGATGAAGTACTAAGGAATGGGAGGAGCTAGGAGAAGAGGAAGAACTAAAAGAAGATGAAGATTTTGAAGAAGATGAAGAACCAGAAGAAGAGGAGGAACTAGAAGGAGAGGAAGAACTAGAAGATGAAAAACTAGAAAAAGATGAAGAACTAGAAAAAGAAGAGGAACTAGAAGAGGAGGAAGAGCTAGACGTAGAGGAAGAACTAGCAGGAAATGAAGAATTAGAAGATGAAGAACTAGAAGAACAGGAGGAAATAAAACATAAAGAACTAGAAAAAGAGGAAGAAGAAGAGGAATAACTAGAAGAAGATGAAGAAATAGAGGAAGATGAAGAACTAGAAGATGATGAAGAAATAGAGAAAGAGGAAGAAGAAGATGAAAAACTAGAAGAAGGGGAAGAACTAGAAGATGGGGAATTAGAAGAAACGGAATAACTAGAAGTAGAGGAAGAAATAGAAGAGGAGGAAGAACAAGAAGAAGATGAAGAACTAGAAGAGGAGGAAGAACCAGAAGAAGATGAAGAACTAGAAGAAGAGGTAGAGCTAGAAGAAGATGAAGAACTAGAAGAGGAGGAGGAACTAGACGAACATGAAGAACTTGAAGAAGCTGAAGAACTAGAAGAGGAGGAAGAACTAAAAGAAGATGAACAACTAGAAGAAAAGGAAGAACCAGAAGAAGATGAAGAACTAGAAGAAGAGGAACTAGAAGAGGAGAAACAAGAAGAGGAAAAACTAGAAGAAGAAGAAGAGACAGTAGAAGAAGATAAAGAACTAGAAGAAGAGGAAGAAGTAGAAGACGATGAAGAACTAGAAGAAGAAGAAAAAATAGAAGAAGATGAAAAACTAGAGGAGGAAGAGGAACCAGGAGAAGAGAAAAACTAGAAAAAGATGAAGTACTAAGGAAGGGGAGGAACTAGAAGTAAAGGAAGAACTATAAGGAGATGAAGAACTAGAAGAAGAAGAAGAAGAAGAACTAGAAGAAGATGAAGAACTAGAAGAGGAGGAAGAACTAGAAGAGGAGGAAGAACTAGAAGAGGAGGAGGAGCTAGAAGAAGAGGAAGAACTAGAAGAAGAGGAAGAACTAGAAGAGGAGGAGGAACTAGAAGAGGAGGAAGAACTAGAAGAAGAAGAAGAACTAGAAGAGGAGGAAGAACTAGAAGAAGAGGAAGAACTAGAAGAGGAGAAAGAACTAGAAGAAGAGGTAGAACTAGAAGAAGAGGAAGAACTAGAAGAAGAGGAAGAACTAGAAGAAGAGGAAAAAACTAGAAGAAGAGGAAGAACTAGAAGAGGAGGAAAGAACTAGAAGAAGAGGAAGAAGAACTAGAAGGAAGAACTAGAAGGAAGAACTTGAAGATGAAGAACTTGAAGAAGAGGAAAAACTAGAAGATGATGAAGAACTAGAAGAGGAGGAAGAACTAGAAGTAGAGGAAGAACTAGAAAAGGAGGAAGAACTAGGAGAAGATGAAGAACTAGAAAAGGAGGAAGAACTAGAAGATGAAGAACTAGAAGAAGAGGAAGAAGAAGAGAAAAAACTAGAAGAAGAGGAAACAGCAGAGAAAGAGGAAGAAGAAGATGAAAAAATAGAAGAAGGGGAAGAACTAGAAGAAGAAGGAGAACTAGAAGAGGAGGAGGAACCAGAAGAGGAGGAAGAACTAGAAGTAGAGGAAGAACTAGAAGAGGAGGAAGCACTAGTAGAAGAGGAAGAACTAAAAGAAGATGAAGAACTAGAAGAGGAGGAAGAACCAGAAGAAGATTAAGAACTTGAAGAGGATGAAGAACTACAAGAGGAGAAAGAACCAGAAGAAGATGAAGAACTAGAAGAAGAGGAAGAACTAGAAGAAGATAAAGAACTAGAAGAGGAGGAAGAACTAGAAGAAGATGAAGAACTTGAAGAAGATGAAGAAGTGGAAGAACAGGAAGAACTAGAAGAAGAGGAGGAACTAGAAGATGAAGAACTAGAATAAGAGGAAGAAGAAGAGGAATAATCAGAAGAAAATGAAGAAGTAGAAGAAGATGAAGAACTAGGAGAAGAGGAAGAACCAGAAGAAGATGAACAACTAGAGGAAGACGAAGAACCAGAAGAAGTTTAAAAACTAGAAGGACAGGAAAAACTAGAAGAAGATGAAGAACTAGAGAAAGAGGAAGAACTACAGGAAGAGGAAGAAGAAGAGAAAAAACTAGGAGAAGGGGGAAAACTAGAAGAAGATGAAGAACTTGAGGAAGAGGAAGAACTACAGGAAGAGGAAGAAGAAGAGGAAAAACTAGAAGAAGATGTAGATCTAGAAGAGGAGGAAGAACTGAACAAATGTCGATCTGCGCGTATTCAAAGGAAAATGGAAAAATTGAAACATAAACTTTATCAGGGAAGGACAAAACCATATGTTCGCAGACAAGAGCAGCAGCTTCTATGACTAGAGTTTCAAAGAGGTGGAGCTGTCGTACAGAACTACGTATGTTCCAGAACTACGCTGAGGAGGTCATGAAACCTTAAGCAATTCACTTCTCATCTCTCTTAGATGACTTTCTTATTCGATGTCAACTTGTCCGGATCACGGAATCCGTGTCGTGATACATGACACGATCGTTGAAATGGTCCAAGTACTCATGAGGTGAAGACATAGAAGTCACGGTTATTTAATCTTTCACTGAATTTTTTCCCATCCTCATCCCTTCCTTTGGTGTCATTCAAACGCAGCATGTGTTCTATCCGTTTTAACCATTTCAAAGCTTTGGTAGATTAATTATTGCGCACCCCATGCCAACCACCAGGTGGTTTCACGCCGATACAATCAGGTTTGAAATGATGTTAGCTCCAATGCATATTACAAGCTCTGGCAATAGTGATACAATGTTCGATAGGATCAAATTGGGCCTCTTGAGTAAATTTTTTCGGAATTTCTGACATCCGGCTTTCAAGAGTTTGACCTCAGAGATGCAAGAATCTGCCATTTCTTAAAATATATGAGAGTTCACATCCCGTCGATTTTTATCATGGAACCAGGTCTCAAATTCTCGTTGTTTGTCGTGACGCATACCGTTGTGATAAAACGTGTCGCAGGCGGCTAGAGTCCATCGTAATTTTGATTTTTACTTGTGTTAAACAAGTGAGTGAAAAATTAGGAAACGAAGTCAAAGAAGGGGAAAGAAATAAAACGATTCGAACGTGATAGGGTCTGATGTCACAGATAGGCGTTTGATCCCCATAAAGACTTGATTCTCGACCATGCGATGCTGTCGAAAAATTCTTCCAAAACAAACATCCCATCGTATCCTTTAAGATTACGAAACAATACCTCCACAGACCATTCAAATCCATTTTCGTTCACGGCCACTTCATTCAAGAAATCGAAAACAAAATTCTTCGGAAAAATTTTCAACGCAAAACTCCTGCGCTTTCTCATCGTTAGCGTTCTTTCAACACAAGAGAATAGGATGATGTTACAATCTTCAACATAACGTCCTACTCGTCTTTTTTTCTTTTTTGCCTGTTTAATGTAACACTTATGTTGACATATTCCCCACAGACTTGGCATTTGGCCACTCCTCATCGATATTTGGCGACTATGGATCTTCGATCACCCTTATTTTGATTCTTTCTTGTGGCTGTTTTCGACTTCCTTGAAGAATTCGGGAAAATTATTTGTACATTTTGCAAATAGATTCACGCAAGGATTGGGTCGAGTCCAATGATACCGATAGTAAGCTTCTCCATAAAACGAACGTGGACATACACAGCACATTTGAAGAGAAGTGTCACTTTGACGATTTCCAGGACAATTACGGCGATGACACGATAAACATTTCTTTCCTCCGCAAGTATGATGATCATAATCATCTGTATTAAATCCACAGTCGCATTCGTGACAATGAGAAGATTTGCTCAAGATTCCTTTTTACGATGCGAAATCATGATGGAGATGTCCATCTACTTGCACTGATTCAATCTTTTCAAGGATCCTTGAAAATAGTCAGGTGAAGCTTATTCAACGACACCACTTGAATCTGGTACTCGAGACTCGCTGCTTTTTAAAACTTTTCCAATTCCCTTACACCACACGAGCATTCTTCCACACCTGACCAATCGATATAGCCACGTTACGTTATACGATCGGTCCATTTGAGCCGCATGGTACTAAATAACGCAATCTGATTGATTAGGACCCAGAGTGCCACATAACATTTCTGGGATGTTGTAAGATCTTTTTATAACGCCAGAAAAAATTTTCTATGCCGTATCTGAGACCATTTAAGTACAAGTGTTTGTACTCTTTTTTGTGTTCTCATAATATATCAAAAGAGTTATTATCAATCCGAGCATGTATAGCATCTTAATCATTTTATGAAAAATAAGGCAAAATATATATCAAAGTTCACATGGCAACCAGGTGGACAATCAGACATGGTTTCGTGTTACTCTGGTTTAAAGATTTAATGAATGTAACCGAGAAGTTACAATTCATAGACCCAACGTTTCGACATTCCTGTTCAGTGCCTTCCTCATCACCTCTCATCACCTCTGATTAAGACACTAGAAAGGAGTTTCGAAACGTTGCGTCTATGAATTGTAACTTATTGGTTACATTCATTAAATCTTTCAACCAGAGTAGAATCAAACCATGTCTGAAGGCAAAATATGTTTTCACCAGAAAAAGTGTTGCCTCAGTATATGCCATAACAATGCAACTTGCCTGGTTGGATTTACGGACAAGGGATACAAATGTGTGTGTCAGGCTGGTTACGAGGGAGAACATTGTGAAAAAGGTGAGGCCCACTATGCGTTGCATCAAGCATATTTACCATCCATGTATGTGCCCTTTATATCAATTTAAGTTTCGTAGCGTAAATTTCCATATCTCCTCCGAGCAGTTACGATGCAAGTATAACACTTTGTACCCATTTTTGATTTTTGTTTCATTTCGATACTCACGTCCTATGGGATACTTCGTGTCATCTCGTGTAGTGTATCGCGCTCTAATTATTTGTTTAGATATTGACGAGTGTTCTAACAATACCCATAACTGCCATGCCAAGGCTGTGTTTATAATATCGAGAAGTCTTACAGTTATAGATATAAAGAGGGTTTTAAGGGGGAAAGATGAAATTTTATGGTTAAGTTCAGAGTGATCATTGCAATATATTTTTAGTAATGTAGCATTCCTAGATCAGAAATCTTTTTTATTCTACCATAATTCAATTTTTCCAAAAAAGGCAAGAACACGCTTAAAAAAGGTCACAACGGAGCGAGTAAAAACAGTTAAAGACAAGAATAGAAGCAAAAAAAAAAAGTCCGAGAATAATAATGATGATGATTATAATCGAATTATTTATTTAGTATAACCCTTCAATACAGAAGTACTGTTATCAACAAGGTCCTTTTGATTAAGAATTAAAAACTCAGAAATAAGAAATTATTAATATATATATATAAGATAAAATTAAAACAAAAATAAACTAAGTTAAAAACTATTAAAACTACAATGGAAATTACAAGTAATAATCGTTCAGGGCTTTCCTAAATGAAAACTCCAGAGTTTATGTTCCTTAAACCTAAAGATAACGAATTGAAAATCGAGGCACCCAAAAAATAAAAACTACGGCGGGCAAAATTTAGTTTGGCTTTTGGTAGCTTTGTTGTTTTTCCATTTTCCCAGCATTTATATGAAAACTCCAGAGTTTATGTTCCTTAAACCTAAAGATAACGAATTGAAAATCGAGGCACCCAAAAAATAAAAACTACGGCGGGCAAAATTTAGTTTGGCTTTTGGTAGCTTTGCTGTTTTTCCATTTTCCCAGCATTTATTGCGTTATGTTGTAAAAAAAAAAAAACAAACATCTGACAGAAAAGAAATCGTTGGAAAACTCCAGCTATACCGTCGTCAGATTTTGTTAATCACTCGTGTAATTACAGACAGAATCAAAACTCCACTCGATCTTTTCACCATCTTTTTAGAACTGATAGAATGGTGACTTGACATATCAAGATGACAAACCAATAAAATAAACAATAGGTAATAAGAAAGCTTGACTATGTTTTTTATTAAACGAAAGAACTTATGATAAGAAAAGAGGTTGAGTTGAACCTTTTTTGCCCTTCAGCATTCAAAGCATTCAAAGCTGTTTTTACAAATCTCAATGCCACTGGAAGATATGGTCCATCATCGCTGGGAGGTCACTACAGAGATGAGGATCATGACGGACAAGTTGCTCTGTCCAGCGGTATTCAACAGTGGACTGTGCCATACAGTGGACTGTGCCATACACTGGTGACTACAGAATAGAAGCAGTAGGAGCAGCTGGAGGATACGATGGAGCTACTAACAACCCTCAATATCGAGGAAGAGGAACAAGAATGATTGGAACATTCCGTTTAAAAGAGGATGAAGTTATCCAGATCCTTGTAGGTCCAGAAGGGGGAATAAACAAGATGGATAAATCCTCTGGTGGTGGTGGAGGTACATTTGTGGTGAGTGGAACCAACACAACTTTAATAATAGCTGGAGGCGGAGGAGGGATAGATTCTGCAGAGTCAAGACATGCAGGATGTGACGCCAGCACAAGCACAACAGGGAATCATGGACACAAGTCATGGTCAGGGGGAAGCAATGGAAATGGTGCGCAGACTGCTAATTATGGTTACTCAGGTAAGAGTATACTGTGATGATCCCTTACCCATTACCTCTTCATTAATGGATGTGTTAATGTGTGCTTCAAATTTAAATCATCGGCCCTAATCCCACGAAAGAAAAAAACAAAACGCTAAGACTACCTAGGATGAGGACTAGTTTATGCACCCAGAGATAATATAGGCACATATAAAAATATTCTGCCTGAAGAATGGCGGCTCAATAGAAATACATCATTTAAAGGTTTGACCTCGCTGATATGAGCACATTAGGGATTATTAAAAACAAAAAAGGGTCTTGTAATTAAAACTTCAATCATCTGTTTTGTTTTTATTTTGTCTTCAGGTGGTGGTGGTGGCGGGTTTTACTCCAGTGGAAGAAGTGGAACTGATTTCAAGGGGAGCATGGGAGTGGGCGGAGAAGGTGGTAAGGGATTTCTTCAGGGAGGGGAGGGTGGGAGATCACTGCATCACAATGTTGTTGGTGGGTTTGGTGGAGGAGGTGGAGCTCATGGAGGGTCAGGAGGAGGAGGAGGAGGAGGAGGAGGATACTCTGGAAGAAGCAGTGGAGATGGTTCTCGTGATAGCTGTGGGGGTGGGGGTGGCTCCTACAACGATGGAAACAACCAGGACAATGAATGTTGTTATAACACGGCTGGTCATGGTCAGGTGACCATCACATTGCTGTAAAAAATACAAAGCGATGATAAGATAAGAGTTTATTTGTGTTTGATTGGCATTCTAATTGTTCTTATTTATAACCCAAAAGCAAATAGAGCTCTTAAGATACGAGATAATGAAGGAAACTTGTTTTCAGAAATTCAGTCTCACTCGTTAGGCTTTTGTAGGTCATGAGGTCATGTCGAAAGATGACGTAATCGCATTGCGAAGTATCTCAACGTGCAATATTATGAGACAATTGTAATGAAAAAAAAATTCCGGACGATTATATCTACTGAAAGCTTTGGCTGTTTGTTCATGTACCTTCTCTATTTCAAATCTTTACTAACTTTCCTTTGCCTTCCTTAAGATCAGCAAAGATTTGAGTTCCAGAAGCAATGACTGACCCCTTTCACACTAGATTACTTTGGAATCAATGTCTTTTCGAATGAAGCTTTAATTTAGAGTTTGAGCATGCTTTAACAGATGGTGAAGACGATTTTCCATAATTTGAATTCTCTTCCGAAATAGTTAGGATTTGCTCGCTGGTATGAAGATCGAAAATCCAACAGAGTTGCCATGACAGCCTTGTAAATTGACGGGTGTTATTGTAAATAAATTCTAAAATTGACCAAAATTAAGTAGAAAGTATTTGATTAGAGGTACAACATTTGTTAAAAGGCATTGCTGCTTCTATAAAATGTTCCTTTGCAATATTTGAGTTATTAGTATTGCATGAGTTTTTTACTTAAGGGATAATATTCTCTTTTTTTCTAAAGTGATCATTTGTATCACGTGCTTTAACAGTGTGTTTTAGATAAGGAAAAATTCACTAGGCATTATTTAGATATACTTGTAATAAGCAGGAAGATATCATTGTCATCAGCTTAAAAGCCTTTAAAACGTTCGCTTAAAAAACTTTCCCTTGACTACTAAGTATCTTAGCTATCAGTAAACCAGCGAGACCATGGGCTCTTACAATAAGCTTTAAACATTTGAAAATAAAATAACTTATCGTAAGGATCTAGAAATGAAAGCTAAGTGTCAAAAGGTTTCATGAAAAGGCGGCAATGTTGATCTGCAGTGGAATATGACATTCATTACATACACCCATTGTTGCTTAATTTACAAAAATAAGCTTTTTCACCACATTACTATGCAAAATTTAATTCAAAGCCTTTTCTGCATCCTAGATGACACTGGAAACTTAGAGGAAAACAATTATTAAAAATGTTCTCCAGTATATTGTTTGTGAATTTCTTGACTGTAAAGGTAGTGACATTTTAAGTGAAACTATTTTATATTTCCTTCACTTCGATGAATATGATTTGCGTTCACAGCATGCGAGGATTTTTCGAGAGAAGGTAGACGTAGACAAATGCTAGCCAAATAAAAGAAAATAAGCTAGGGAACAAATAAATGAGTGAGAAAACGAAGTGAAACAAACACAAAGCTGAAATAGCAGATGTAGGTTGGGAAGTGGAGGAGCGGGGTGTCCATGTCACCCATCTGAGGAAAGAGTTGAAGAATTGAAAACGAACGAGGCCGAGATCCCGCCATCTTGATCGAAGAAGCGTGGTCGATAAAGGATTGACTCTGCAGCAAAAAGATCATGGCATTATTTAAAGACCAGATACAAGAGAACATTTTATCCATTGTTAGGAATTTAAAACCTGTGCAGGTGTCTTCTTAAAAAATATTTTAGTGAAGTTCCCGTACATTTCGTTACAACATGTCCAGACAGTTTCTTTGTTTGTTTCTTCTAAAATCGTGGCTCCCTTCTTTTTCAACTTTAATGAGCTATACTTGTCAACAAAATACTAAATTTCGTCACCCTCAAGTTTCTTCGAGATTTTTGCATAAGTTTTTACTTCAGAACCCTATCGATGTGGTAAATTAGGATTTCCAATCTGTTGAAAATTGTATTATTTTCGAGTCCGATTCGTCGGGCCACTGCTTCTATTCAACTACAGATGTGGACTATTTGAGGAGTTGCCACAGGAAAAAAATTTTTTAAAACCCAGACTGTTAGGTACTTGCAGAGCCAACGGCGAAATTTTATTCCTAGCTTTATTTATAATTAATCAAAATCCGGCGAGATAATAATTTTCTTTAGTTCCCTGCAGGTTTATTATTTTCCTCCAACGTGGTTTGAGCATGAAAAATAGCCATTAGCAAGCCTCTCGTTCTGTGACATTTTGAAAGATAAATTCCTCTGAAACAATGATCAAAACGAAACAAAAGAACGGTGAAAAAAACAAAAAGAAAGAAAGGAAAAAAAGGTAGGGAGAGACTGATTCTTTTTATTGCTATCACTTAATAACTTTTCTGGGGATACGTAAATTATTAGGTCTTAGAGCCAATTTTGATAAATGTAAGTCTTAAGAGCTAATGTCAACATGCATCGAGTTCGTTTTCTCTCCTACTTTAATATTTTCTAGCCCAACATGTCCTTATAATTGTGGTGTGGTATTTTTGTGAAAATATATACTTCAGTTTTTGAGAAATTAGTTTTTTAGTTCGACCGCTCAAATATGCAAATTTTCACCCTGAATATTACCCGAGTTGTGCGACCTCATGTAACGAATTTACGTGACCTCCGGTAATTCTGTGGGCATAATCCTTTGTTTTATCATCTAAACTTAATCCCCTGTCATTATTGAAGATGTAAAGAAATATTTATTTTTTGGTGAATATTTTTGTCCGACATACTTTTTCTATGTCTAAAAGTGGCCGATATGACAGAATCTACTGAGCTTCTAGCTTTTAAAAGACAAGACGATGGTTATAAAGTTACTGTTATATCGTGAGACGAACTCAAAGTCCGGCAAAGTTTACTTGCTTACTTGGTGTTGTTCATTTCTTGTTGCATTCGCAGTATGCTTTTTTGCATACCTAATGTGAAATCAGATTAAACTCAAATAAGTCCCTCCTCTAGCGATTTCTATTGACTCGTCGGACGAATTATACTGAAGGAGAGACCAGGTGTGATGCACAATCGGATACGACAACACTTCAAGTGAGTATTTCTGCTATCGATAACGATCTACCTAATGACCTCAGTACAAGACTTTGAACTTGCTTTATCGTTTACTGAGTGAGTATCCAATTGACCCGATTGTTTTTGCGTCTTAATGGAACGTAAAAACGCAAAAGAAAACAACATCTAGCTATTTTTCTCGGAGAATGTTAGGCAATAATTATCATATTGTCACAAAAAGGCGCAAAGAATTTCGTTTTTGTGCTAGCGATTTTATTGTAGGCAATCTTGGCCGCCCCTGGTGCCAGTGGAAAACAAGAATCGCCTCATATTTCGACAGGTTGTCGGTTTTTAGGGATATTTCAGAGAATATAAAACGATAACGCAGTTTTGTGCGTAATTTCGCAGTATCCAATTCTATAACGTGTAACAACCTACTCCTAATATAAATATTTAACCCCTCACATGCTCGAGCCGTCCTGGGGATTATTGACAACACATAAACATAATATTTCACAGCCTTAGGATTCTTGGAAATTTTATTGCTTTTCACCTGTGCATTGAGCTGTTTATTTGTAACACACCATTATTGGATGAAAAAAAGGATTTGTAATGAAGCAACTTCTTTGGAAAAGAATGCATCAGGAGTGCTCTAAAGGAATCAGTTAAATCCTTTGTGTTGATTGAAATGCATCTTTTGTTTACATTTGCAGATCCACTGTTTCAACATTACGCAAGATTTTTTGAAATAAAATTTAGTATAAAAGACAAGGATTCTCCCCCTAAAGTAGGAAAATCATTTTTTTCTTCCAAGGAGAGAGAGGGGGGAGGGGGGGTTAATCTCAAAATGAAGGTAATCCTTCACTCAATTCTGTCATGTTTTATTATGTCTTATTTATTGGTCCTTCGTTTTTAGTTTTAAATTGATTTTTAGACTTGATTTAGCCGGATTTTACCCTTCATACGCAAACAGAATAGGAAGGTTGTGGATATTAGAAATAGTTCCCCTGCTCGATTATCGCCTGTATAGTCAAGAAAGTCACAAACAATATACTGGTGAGTTTTAAAGGAGAAAAGTGTTCTTGAAGTTTTACTTCATTCGAAAACATCAAAAAGCTGTTGCTACATCGTAATTGAGACTGGAGGCTTTGTGCAAAGCTAACAAAAAAAAAAAAAAAAACTCTCCAGTGTATTGTTTGTGACTTTCCTGACTGTACAGGCGATGATCGAGCAGGGGAACTATTTCAAATTTTCACAGCCTTCCTTTCCCGTTTTGCGCGTGAATGATAAAATCCGGCTAAAAAAAATCAATTTAAAACCAAAATCGAAGGACCAACGAATAAACAAAAGAAACTACCTTCGTTTGGAGATAGCCCCCCCTCTCCTTAGACAAAGTATCGATTTGACACCACGTTCTCGTCTCTAGCGAAAGAACATGTTTGACACAAAAATATTTGGGGAATTTTGAAAGATAATTTCCCAATGCTGGGCCTATTAGATTAAGGATTGGTACATCTGCCGGAGACAATGGAAACTGAGTACAGTGCAATATAAATTAAACGGGAAGCTAAACAGAAGTTGGGGCTCGGAGTTTTGCTGTGGCTGAAACTGGAGAAGAAACGAGTAAAAAAATACCTAAAAATTGTCTCCTTTAAGGGAAGAATCCTTGTCTTTTACACTAAATTCTATTTCAAAAAATCATGCGTAATTTTGAAACAATGGATCCGCAAATGTAAACAAAAGATGCATTTCAATCAACACAAGGGATCTAACTGATTCCTTTAGACGACTTTAGTGCTTTTCCAAAGAAGTTGCTTCATTACGAATCCTTTTCTTTTCATCTAAAACTCGTCGAATCTCAGCTGGCCACCATGGGCTAGGAAAGTCAAGTCGAGTCGATTCTCATCTCCTGGGTGGAGGGAATAATGGCCTAACAATGAGAAGGCGTGTAGTCATCCTAGTATTACATTGATAGTTATCAATAATTGATAGAGTTTGTCAGTGAGGCATCTGTCAAAGACTTTTCGAAAGCTTAAACAGTGCTAGACTC